GATGTTCTTGCGCAATTCATTTCGGATTAATAAGTCAGAATCAATAAATCTCAAGGATTATCAGCATAAATATTAATAAAATCATCATTCGGTGATTACAGTTCGAAGTTCGAAGGTGTGCACGCGAAATGTCGTTGGTAATCGAACGTGCCCGGAGTGCTGCAAACGCACTGGTTGTCGTCGGTGGCATAAGTGTTATGAACGGCTTCCTGGCTGGCTGCATTCAAGCCGAAAAGTCTTACACCATGCAACACTACACCAATACGCACTGGATTACGACCGTGTCAATATTCGCGGCTCTGTCGGCCACATTCCTGCGTTCATTCACCACTCTGTCGCATTCGTTGATTCTGATGATCACAACGAATCTGTTTGCGATCACTGTGGCGGCTGCAGCGGCGATCGCTGATGCCTTCAATGTGCTCATCGTTCTGAGAGATTTTCAAGCGATCCTGGCCAATGTCTACTTCTCAAAGATACAAGTAAGTGTATAACTTCAATCATTTACACCACTCAAATACCGTTTGTTATTACTGTCAATTAGAGCTGATCATTCAAATTCAAGATTGTAACTATTCAGTGATCAAATTATCGAATTAAACTTGTGGTAGGAATTAGAAACTTAATCACTTCAATTCATTCTTTACGGCGTGAATAATCGTTTGCAGAGTGCAGAATTAAATAGATTTGACTGATGCTCAAGTGGGCAATAATTCTTAATAGGTAAATTGGGCACTAATATAGTTGGATTATAAATAATCTTGAACTTGTATGTATTCGATCGGAATGTTGTGAGCTCGGAACTTTTTTGGTGAAAGCTTCTGCTTTTATAGATTACATGAGACGATCATATTTGTAGCCAATAGATCATAAGTTTTGAATGATCAAAGTTTATTCACAAAAGCCAAATTTCTTTTCAAAAGAATGGTGTGTTGTGAGCAGAATTTTATTAATCAGTAATTCATTCATTTGGAATCGGAATTAATTTTACTCAAATTCTTCAATCAGCTATTGAAACGTGTTCCAGTTCGATGCATATTTTAATGATTTCCTTTTTTTATTTGTCGTTAATTCTTTCATTCCAAGTGCAATTCGCTAGTTTGTTTCATTGATATGTTCAGTATAATACACCTCACTTCACTTAATCACTTGAAGCATTCAGAAAGCAGCAAATCAAAATGACAATAAAGTCATTAGTTATTAATATAGAATTTGCGTCTTTTTTCGAATTGCATTCAGAGTTTTTTCATTCTTCACCATTCTCATTTCATTTGCTATTCATTTCATTTCAATTCGATTGAATTGATCAAAACCACTGTCAAAATCGAAAGAATTGGAATTTCAAATATGATGAATGAAACTATCAAGTGGAAAAAATCATTCCGCTCAAAAAGGGACGGAAACAAGAAACAGCAGTGAAGTCTCTGTTTTAACATCATACTGCAATGTCGACTAAATATCTTTTAAGGGCTGGGAAGCGAAATGCAGAAGGGTCTTGCGCTATGAATTAACGTGAAAATTTTGACACTGAAAGTGAAATCATTCCAAAGGAGTTGATATAAGTAGATAGAAAATGCTGAGAAATGATTTGACACTGAATTTAATCGTTCAATTGAAAGAATGATGATATCATATGAGTGACTGAATGAATTTGATGTGCTGAAAAGCAACAGTAATTGGAAGTACTTAATTTTGGCTACCTTTTTGTATGTGTCCGTCAGCCTTTTCATTAATCCCAAAAGTGTTCTCTACCTACAAAAACAGGTTTTTAAAATTTTGATGATTGATCGATTGGCCGTCGATTTCTCTCTGTGTGTGAGTCTTTTCGAATGCATGCATTAATATAATGTCAAGTAGAATTTAACATTCCATATGAGCATACATAAAATAAATTTAAGAATACATCAAAACGCATTCGCTTCAAACCAAATTCAACATTTATGAAAACAATATGAAATGTGAATTCATAAATTTGGATAGACTTGTGTTAGTCATGGATAGGATCATACACATATGAGTATCTGTCGGTATGGATCTGTTTTAATGATCAGTTAAAGTTTCATAAAATTTCCGAAGAAATTCCTCCGAATTCACTGAAAATGAAATATTGCACTAGCAACTGAAAACTGAAACAAGGTAACGATCGCATAACGTTTTGGATGGTGCTTGAGTGGGTTTGTCTAAATAGAACATTTGATGTTCTAAATGTTCTAAAACTTAGTTGCTTTTGCTGTACTTGAGGTGATTTAATATACTTCCCAAAAAATGATGAATACACTTTCTGTGAACTCTTCAACCTGACTAGCTTATGTCTGAGGACATTTCACCTGGATCACCTGGATTAACCAGGCTATTGAACCTTCATAATGTCGTTGGCCATAATGCGCTTTCGTTCGGGGCGCTCCACCTTGTTTTCCTATGTCAATTCTTTTCAAGTCACTTTCTGTCTCATTGTTCTGTCTATTTGAAGGCCTCCAGAGTGATCATTCCTGTTGTCTGCAGGAAACAGAAATTTGTACATATGATATAAACAATACAAATCAATTTGCTACGCATTTTGTGAATATGCAAATTAGACACAATAATAAGTGATACATGATAATGTGAATGACCAGAACATGAACGATTCAGTGTTGTGTAGAGTTGACCTGTCCACTTCAATATCATGTGGATATGTTGATTATTTGTTGGATGTAAGGAGATGAATGTAATTCAAATGTAAATAAACTTCAATGCGCAATTGATACAATAACAACCTCATTCAGCAAGTTAACGACACATTTCGATAATGTGAATAAATAAGCACATAAGCAAACAAAGAGCCAAATGCATACCCAGGTATCTGTAAGAAGAGGAGAATGAGGTGTGAAATGGGGATTCCAGCGAAAAATCGCCACACTCCACGGAAACTTTGGAGAATGGTCGTGAATCTGAGAGAAACTGCATGTTCCTGTCAATGTTCGGTAGTTCAAAACTGAGATCTGAGGATTTCAAGAGAATCTAAAATCGAATTTTTAGGTTTATGGTATGATTGGCTACAGTATGCTTGATTTCTTGTTGTGTTGCATTACGGTAGTGTTGATTGCAACGATCCTGGGTGCGTGCATCGGCGGCATTATTGAGACGAGAATTCAACTGCGTTCATCGTGGATGCTTTCACTGGGCATTTCACTGATCGTTGTTTCGGTGCTGAAACTATTCGCATGGCTATACGAATTGCACTGGATTCGCAAATTTGGTGACCTGATACGGTAATTGAATTTGTCTCTCTGCCCGGAGTGGATTAATCAGTTGATTTTCATCCGAATCTCCACAGGAATATTCAGAATGAGTGTCGAGATTATTTGAAATTTTTGCATCAAAGAGTTTCCAAACTAAAATGTTCGAATTTGGTATCAAAAATTCGGGAACCCTCAATTTCATATCACAAAATTGCAAAATTCTGTTAAGAGAATAAATGATCTACACTGAACAAAAAGTGATCTGAATGATCTGAGTAAATGATCTACACTGTAATATTCGGTGATCCAAATGATCTTCTAAAAATTCATCCCAACCGAGTCAATTCATCTCATTCTTGTAAGCTGACAAGTAGTTCTTCTCGATCAACTCCTTAATGAATCTTCACAATGCTTGACGTTTCACAAACATTAGTGGAACTTAACAATGATAGTGAAATTAGATATGGACTTGAATTAAGGCGAAAACAGCAAAGAGTGCGATAAAATCACGCTGGTATAACAGTGATTAACTGAACTCATAATTGAATATTTTGCAGGTACACCTTTTTGCATTATACAGTTGATGAACCAATATGGATTGCGATTAACCTCATGACAGGTTCCTTTATTATGTTTTTGCGATTTGTTTGCCGTTATTATATGATTCTTAATTTGATTTCAAGTGAGGAGCTGTTTGATGAAATTTTATGCCATAGCAGGCCAACAGCTATTAATTTCAAGCTGAGGATTGGCTCATCAATATATTAATCAATATAAGTGGGAGAATCAATATATAAGGGCGAGAAAATTCTGCTTTCTGCTTTCCATCTGAAGAATCTCATCTGAAAAGTTTTCCCAGATTTAGATTGCCACCTGAGAATATCTTCAATGCCTTTACTGTTCATGGCAACGAAACTGAATTCAGTCATAAATTTTTTGATCCTATCTATCAGTTTCAGGTATCTTCTGTACGTTGGGTTCTCAAGGCGGTACACTGATCAGGACTGTATCGTTTTGCCTCAGCTCGCTGAGCATACATTCGACTGTGATGTCTATTTGGACCGACTATCGATGGTTTTCGAATGCTGTTTTGGGTTCCAAAACTTATGTAATACACTTCGGAATTGATCATTTTCAATTGCTTGCAGCATTCAAAATTGTTTATGAACTATACTCTTACTTTAGATGATGATGTTTTGAGTTTATGCACAAAAATTTTAACTCTGATCTTATGATTTGCATACGCTGATAACGGTATATCCTGTACAATGATGCCTTTCAGGTGGCTGGTATGAGCTCCGTTGAGCACTCACCTGGTACATTGCTGTTTTTCAATTTATCACTTGGCGTTGCTCATGCAATCATACTTATCAGCCTATCGATCATTCTCATCACTTCTATCGGTCAAGCGATCGAATTGAAGCTCTCTTCGAGAGTTCGACTTTTCTTCTTCTCTTCAAGTATGCTTTTTGAAATAGTGATCTGTTGATCTATTAGTGATCTATCTATTGATCTATTAAACATTATTGATCTTATTCTCAAAACTTAAGCATCTCAAAAGCTATATTTATGAGGTTGAATTTACTCTTGTTTGATATTTGTAATTGCATAATGACCAATTAGCTGCCAAATTGGACCTATGAACTGCGGGTCCCTTTTGGGTCTGACGAAATCGAATAAATCTTTAACAATGTATCAGTAAATGCTTATGGTTTTCTTAAAGAGTGTTGCGATCAAATTGAATTGAAATGAATAGCTCAGAATATGAATTTCAGCAAAAATTCGAAATATCCGACTTTAGACGTACAAAATTCGACTCCAGTCATAAAAAATTCCGGTATCGATGTTAGAACGAGAATCTGAGAGTACGTAGAGTGACTGAGTATGTGCTTCAGGTGTTTGTGCGGGTTGTATAGCCGTTGTGCTATTGCTGATCGATATTATATCAGCGAGTGTTGAGGCGTTCTATCGAATGTTCCATGGTACCGAGCAAAAAACACCATTTCTGGTTTTCATGAGTGCCATTTTCATGCTATTATCCACACGCTCACCGACGAACAATTTTATTTTGCCTGCACTGTACGAGTTTTCATCAGATCGCATTCTAATCGTATAAATGTTTCAAATAAAATGCCACTCATCATAGAGATTTAAAACGCTAGATCACTCAGTCAATCCAAATTTTGCGAAGGAAATCAAATTTTGATTTCTAATGAGCCATTTTTTATCGATCTTAAAGCATTTTATCGACTTCTTAAAGCCCTCATTACTGGATTATGAGTTCATATGATAACTGTTTAATAGGATTGAGAAATTTTTGAATGTCTACCATTCGTCTCTTTCAGAATCACCTCAATATCATTATTTTGAGTCACTTCAATAGCAAACAAATGTCATTATTTTGAGTCTATAATCTTAATTATCGTCTAATCGTAAGTTTCTTTCAGAGTCACCTCATTGCTACTGACCATACAATCCACATGTTTCCTGCTAGTCTCATACAACTATCTCTCATGGAATGGATATTTCTCGGAAGAACTCTGTGAACTGTTCTTCCACGGA